GTAAAGTGACTTATATTGGCCGTATATTTATTACTGGACCAGTATTGATATGTAAATGAGCTGTGAATAGACGTGTGAATGATCCACATTTATGCATATAATTAATTACCGCTGTGCGCAGCATTTATGGCTAATAGTGGTAGTTTATTTACTAGCAGGAGTTATGGGTCGCGATCGAAGCGGCTCTTAGATCCGACTCTTTGAAGCAAACAACAGGAGCATGTTTCTTATTGGGAGCCGTGTTTTCTCTTTTTCTCACTTTTTCTCTTCATGTCGCATGTCGACCCGTAGTTTGACAGCAGCAGCGGCTGAAAACGAAACTTTCAGAAATCTGCGTGTGCATAGGATAAAAAAAAAAAAGTGCATATTTGGCTGCAGTTCAGCATAAAATGAATAAACCAGGACTAATCTTGGGCTCGAGTGCAGGAGAGAGATAGAAACCGAGTCCCGACACTCAGACCTGGTTCAGTTCTGGTTTAGTCCTGCTTGCAACAAAACAATCTCAAGAGTCGCTTGGGAGCCGAAAAGAGCCAGCTGCTTTAGTGAGCCGAGCCAAAAGAGCCGGTTCTACAAAAAAAAACTGGAATCCCCATCACTAGTAGCTAGAATGTGATGCAAAAATGCCATTAGTCCAACCTACTGTCTGTAAATATGATGTAAAGAGTCAGAACAACAATAAATGTTGCCTAAATAAACCCAATTTAAAATCCACCAGAGCCAAACCTAAGTTTTTTAAACAATTCAAGATTTACAGTGAATTTTTACATCACTAAATATATCGGTGATTATATCGGCAGCGCCAACTCCCATTATATCCGTTTCATATCGGCCACAACAAAATCCATATCGGTCGGGCTCTAATTTTCATAGTAGTACTTTGTGTATTTTCATAGTAACTGTGTGTATTTTCATAGTAGTACTTTGTGTATTTTCATAGTACTTTGTGTATTTTCATAGTACTGTGTGTATTTTCATAGTACTGTGTGTGTTTTCATAGTACTGTGTGTATTTTCATAGTACTGTGTGTATTTTCATAGTACTGTGTGTGTTTTCATAGTACTTTGTGTGTATTTTCAGGTGCTTCAGAACATTCTGGAGGCTGAGACTGAATTCTCCCGAGAACTTCAGAGTCTCCTGGGAACATACCTGCGCTCCCTCCATCCAACTGACAGGTACGAATACTGCAAATACTACTACTAATACTAATACTACTACTACTACGCTCCATGTGGTCCTCTTCTTTTTCTTCTTCTTCTTCTGTTCCAGGTTGAGCAGCTCGGACATCAGTCACATTCAGGGAAACCTGGAGGAGATCTGCACCTTCCAGCAGATGTTGGTGCAGAGTCTGGACCAACACACCAAGTACGAACCGCTCTGAGGGGCATTAAAGCTGCACTGCGGAACCTTTCTGCTACAGGCTCCGTCACCTGCTTGTTTCTACTTTACATTTATTTATTCGATCACGGGTGGATTTAAAGCTCAAAAACATCTCGAAAAACAAACATTCTGACAGATCTGACCTGGAACTGCGTCTGGTCTGGTCTCCATGGAGATAGAAAGGTTTAATGCCCTACTGTGGAACATTCCAGACCGAGTTCCAGGTCAGATCTGTGGAGTTTTTGTGGAGCTGTGGAGATTTCTGAGCTGTAAAACCACCTGGAACTGAATAAATGTAAAGTCGAGCTGTTTAAAGTCACACTGTGGAACATTTCAGACAGAGCAATGACGTCTCCATAGAAACAGAACCCCAACCAGAAAGTTACAGAGTGCAGCTTTAAACTCTGACCTTCTGTTTGTTGAGAAAATAATTTTATTTTTTTGTTTTGTTTCAGACTTCCAGAGGCTCAGCAGAGAATCGGGGGATTTTACCTCGACCTCATGCCCCAGATGAAGCCTCTGTACGTGGGATACTGCTCCAACCACCCCAACGCCGTCCAAGTACTCACCCAGCACAGGTACTCACCACGACACAGGTACTCACCCGACACAGGTACTCACCACGACACAGGTACTCACCCAGCACAGGTACTCACCACGACACAGGTACTCACCACGACACAGGTACTCGCCCAACACAGGTACTCACCCCAACGCCGTCCAAGTACTCACCCAGCACAGGTACTCACCACGACACAGGTACTCACCACGACACAGGTACTCACACCCGACACAGGTACTCACCACGACACAGGTACTCACCCGACACAGGTACTCACCCAACACAGGTACTCACCCCAACGCCGTCCAAGTACTCACCCAGCACAGGTACTCACCACGACACAGGTACTCACCCCGACACAGGTACTCACCCCAACAGGTACTCACCCCAGCACAGGTACTCACCACGACACAGGTACTCACCACGACACAGGTACTCACCCAACACAGGTACTCACCCCAACGCCGTCCAAGTACTCACCAGCACAGGTACTCACCACGACACAGGTACTCACCCAGCACAGGTACTCACCACGACACGACACAGGTACTCACCACGACACAGGTACTCACCCAACACAGGTACACCACGACACAGGTACTCACCACGACACAGGTACTCACCCAGGGTACTCACCCCAAACGCCGTCCAAGTACTCACCCAGCACAGGTACTCACCACGACACAGGTACTCACCCCGACACAGGTACTCACCCCAACACAGGTACTCACCCAGCACAGGTACTCACCACGACACAGGTACTCACCACGACACAGGTACTCACCCAACACAGGTACTCACCCCAACGCCGTCCAAGTACTCACCCAGCACAGGTACTCACCGACACAGGTACTCACCGACACAGGTACTCACCCCGACACAGGTACTCACCACGACACACACACGGTACTCACCCCGACACAGGTACTCACCCAACACAGGTACTCACCAACGACACAGGTACTCACCCAACACAGGTACTCACCACGACACAGGTACTCACCCAACACAGGTACTCACCACGACACAGGTACTCACCCAACACAGGTACTCACCCCAACGCCGTCCAAGTACTCACCCAGCACAGGTACTCACAAAGGTACTCACCATGACACAGGTACTCACCCAACACAGGTACTCACCACGACACAGGTACTCGCCCAACACAGGTACTCACCCCAACGCCGTCCAAGTACTCACCCAGCACAGGTACTCACCACGACACAGGTACTCACCCCGACACAGGTACTCACCCGACACAGGTACTCACCACGACACAGGTACTCACCCCGACACAGGTACTCACCCAACACAGGTACTCACCACGACACAGGTACTCACCCAACACAGGTACTCACCCCAACGCCGTCCAAGTACTCACCCAGCACAGGTACTCACCATGACACACAGGTACTCACCCAACACAGGTACTCACCACGACACAGGTACTCGCCCAACACAGGTACTCACCACGACACAGGTACTCACCCAACACAGGTACTCACCCCAACGCCGTCCAAGTACTCACCCAGCACAGGTACTCACCCAACACAGGTACTCACCCAACACAGGTACTCACCACGACACAGGTACTCACCCCAACGTCGTCCAAGTACTCACCCAGCACAGGTACTCACCACGACACAGGTACTCACCACGACACAGGTACTCACCCCAACGCCGTCCAAGTACTCACCCAGCACAGGTACTCACCACGACACAGGTACTCACCCCAACGCCGTCCAAGTACTCACCCAGCACAGGTACTCACCACGACACAGGTACTCGCCCAACACAGGTACTCACCCCAATGCTGTCCAAGTACTCACCCAGCACAGGTACTCACCACGACACAGGTACTCGCCCAACACAGGTACTCACCCCAACGCCGTCCAAGTACTCACCCAGCACAGGTACTCACTCACCACGACACAGGTACTCACCCCAACGCCGTCCAAGTACTCACCCAGCACAGGTACTCACCACGACACAGGTACTCACCCCGACACAGGTACTCACCCCGACACAGGTACTCACCCCAACGCCGTCCAAGTACTCACCCAGCACAGGTACTCACCACGACACAGGTACTCACCCCGACACAGGTACTCACCCAACACAGGTACTCACCCCAACGCCGTCCAAGTACTCACCCAGCACAGGTACTCACCACGACACAGGTACTCACCCCGACACAGGTACTCACCCAACACAGGTACTCACCCAACGCCGTCCAAGTACTCACCAGCACAGGTACTCACCACGACACAGGTACTCACCCCGACACAGGTACTCACCCAACACAGGTACTCACCCCAACGCCCGTCCAAGTACTCACCCAGCACAGGTACTCACCACGACACAGGTACTCACCACGACACAGGTACTCACCCCGACACAGGTACTCACCACGACACACAGGAGTCAGTTTATGTGATATAGGAGCTTTAAACAAGAGAGACTAAACCAGGACTAAACCAGGTCTAACCCAGAACTCAACCAGGTCTAACCCGGTGGTCTTGTGTCTCAGTGAGGAGTTGGGGTCGTACATGGAGGCCAAAGGAGCACAGAATCCTGGAGGTTTGATTCTGACCACGAGTCTGAGTCGACCTTTCCTCAGACTCGACCGATACCCCACACTCCTGAAAGAACTCGAGAGGCACATGGAGGTCTGGACCAGGACTGGACTAAGACTGGACCAGGACTGGACCGGGACTGGACTAAGACTGGACCAGGACTGGACTAAGACTGGACCAGGACTGGACCGGGACTGGACTAAGACTGGACCAGGACTGGACTAAGACTGGACCAGGACTGGACTAAGACTGGACCAGGACTGGACCAGGACTAAACCAGGACTGGACCAGGACTGGACTAAGACTGGACCAGGACTGGAACAGGACTGGAACGGGACTGGACCGGGACTGGACTAAGACTGGACCGGGACTGGAACAGGACTGGACCGGGACTGAACCAGGACTGGACCGGGACTGGACCAGGACTAAACCGGGACTGGACCGGGACTAAACCAGGACTGGACCGGGACTGGACCAGGACTGGCCCGGGACTGGACCAGGACTAGCCCGGGACTGGACCAGGACTAAACCAGGACTGGACCAGGACTGGACCAGGACTGGACTAAGACTGGACCTGGACTGGACCAAGACTGGAACAGGACTGGACCGGGACTGGACCGGGACTGGACCAGGACTGAATCAGGGACTAAAACCAAGACTAAACCAAGACTAAACTAGGACTAAACCAGGACTAAACCATTACTAAACCAGGATTAAAACCAAGACTAAACCAGGACTAAACCAGGATTAAAACCAAGATTAACCAGGACCGAACCAAGACTTAATCAGGACTGAACCAGAACTAAACCAGGACTAAACCAGGATTAAAACCAAGACTAAACCAGGACTAAACCAGGACTAAACCAAGACTAAACCAGGACTAAACCAAGACTAAACCAGGACTAAACCAGGATTAAAACCAAGACTAAACCAAGACTAAACCAGGACTGAACCAAGACTTAATCAGGACTGAACCAGGACTAAACCAGGACTAAACCAGGACTAAACCAGGACTAAACCAGGACTAAACCAGGATTAAAACCAAGACTAAACCAGGACTAAACCAGGATTAAAACCAAGACTAAACCAGGACTAAACCAGGTTTAAAACCAAGACTAAACCAATAAACCAGGACTAAACCAGGACTAAACCAGGACTAAACCAGGACTAAACCAGGTCTAAAATCAGTTTGTTTTCCAGGAGCAGCACCCGGACAGGTCGGACCTTCAGGCTGCGATGGCGGCGTTTAAAAACCTGTCTGTACGTTCAGTTTTTTTTATTTAAACTCTTAATATTTAAACGTCTCTTTAAAAATAATTCCACACTTTTCGTTGCCGTTTTGTCTGAATCTAAAATAAAAACGTTTGTGTTTGCGCGTGGTCAGTCTCAGTGTCTGGACTTGAGGAAGAGGAAGGAGCTGGAGCTGCAGGTCCTCAACGAGCCAATCAGGAACTGGGAAGGCGATGACATCACCACGCTGGGCCCCATCCTGCACATGTCCCCGGCGACGGTTCACAACGGACAGGTCAGTGTGACAGGTGCCCCCCCCCAGTGTGTGTGTGTCAGGTGCCCTCCCCCTGTGTGTGTCAGGTGCCCTCCCCCTGTGTGTGTGTCAGGTGCCCTCCCCCCGTGTGTGTCAGGTGCCCTCCCCCTGTGTGTGTCATGTGCCCTCCCCCTGTGTGTGTGTGTCAGGTGCCCTCCCCCCGTGTGTGTCATGTGCCCTCCCCCTGTGTGTGTGTCAGGTGCCCTCCCCCTGATGCAGGAGGATCATCTCTGGGCCTCTGCAAACTGTTTACAATGAACTCGCTTTTGATTTCTTATTTATAACCAGTGTTGGGAGTAATGTATTATAAAAGTAATGTATTACAGTAATGCGTTGATTTTTGCTGTAACGCAGTAATGTTCAACATTACAGGGGGAAAAATTGTAATATTTTACTCGGTACAAATGTGAGTAACGCGCGTTACAATGCTTTTTTAACCTGGATTGAAGTGGTGGGTTTTTCTTCATAGAAATTCGCTAAAATCACCGTGAAATCAGCAGCGGTGAAACGCCGGAGACGCGGCCGGATAAACCTTCAGTTAACCGCGGGTGAAAGGACCGACCCAGAACTCTACGCTGTTTAGACCTGGGTCACTTCTGGTTTAGACCTGGTTTAGACCTGGGTCACTTCTGGTTTAGACCTGGTTTACAGTCGTCCCTCGCTCTAACGCGGTTCACTTTTCGCGGTCTCGCTGTTTCGCTGATTTTTAGAATTTTTTTTTTGTGTGCAATTTTGCATGCCTTTTGTTTTTAGTGTATGAACACGTATTGCGTTCCTCCCGCTGCGTCCTGATCGGCTGAGGGACTCCTGTCTCCTGAACAGTACAGTACAGAATATGTTCAGCTGCCAAATTTAAATAAATGTTCAATCTCTAGCAGTGTGATTCTGAAGTGCTGTATGTCTGCAAGTTTTCTCTCCGACAAAATCCACAACGTCGACGAAATGTTCTGCACCGACAAAGGCTCCTGCCTCACACCCAAAAGACAGAGGACGATGCAAACCATCGCACAAAAAGTTGGACTTCTGGACACGTTGAAGGAAGGTAGAAGTTACGCGCTGTAGCAGAGTTTTGCACCGGGTCTTGTACCCGTAAAGAGTTGCTGAAATCAGGACCGCGAGCCCGAGCAGCAGGGTCCATAAAGAGCGATCGGGTGACAGACGCTCTTACCTCCATGAGGTGCGGAGCAAAGCCGGTCCTTTCTCCTGCGTCACCTTCCAGCCCATCCTGACAGTGAGTCCTGTTTTAGTCCTAGTTCAGTTCTGGTTTAGTCCTCCTCTTCAGTCCTGGAATCAGTCTGTGGTTAGTCCTGTTATAGTCACGGTTTAGTCCTGGTTCAGCTCTGGTTTAGTCCTGGTTTAGACCTTGTTTAGTCCTGGTTCAGTCCATATACGGCTCAAAAGTTCAGCTTTTTCGCAGTTATTTTGGTGAGAGTAACTTAAAGTAATGTAATAGTAATGTAATGCCTTACATTTTTAAATGCAGTAATATTGTAATGTAACGAATGACTTTGAAATGACAGTAATAAGTCATAAATAATGCATTACAGTTTTAAAGTAACTTGCCCAACAGTGTTTATAACTCTGTAAAACTCAGACACAGAGACTTTAACAAACCTCTGTGTGTGTTTTTTTCTTTTTACTCTGTGTGTGTTTCTTTTTACTCTGTGTGTGTTTCTTTTTACTCTGTGTGTGTTTCTTTTTACTCTGTGTGTGTTTCTTTTTACTCTGTGTGTGTTTCTTTTTACTCTGTGTGTGTTTCTTTTTACTCTGTGTGTGTTTCTTTTACTCTGTGTGTGTTTCTTTACTCTGTGTGTGTTTCTTTTACTCTGTGTGTGTTTCTTTTTACTCTGTGTGTGTTTCTTTTTACTCTGTGTGTGTTTCTTTTACTCTGTGTGTGTTTCTTTTACTCTGTGTGTGTTTCTTTTACTCTGTGTGTGTTTCTGTGTGTGTTTCTTTTACTCTGTGTGTGTTTCTTTTACTCTGTGTGTGTTTCTTTTACTCTGTGTGTGTTTCTTTTTACTCTGTGTGTGTTTCTGTGTGTGTTTTTTTACTCTGTGTGTGTTTCTTTTTACTCTGTGTGTGTTTCTTTACTCTGTGTGTGTTCTTGTGTGTGTGTGTTTTCTTTTTACTCTGTGTGTGTTTCTTTTTACTCTGTGTGTGTTTCTTTTACTCTGTGTGTGTTTCAGGAGTGGGAGGAGCGGTACATGGTTCTGTTTTCTCACACTCTGCTGATGCTCTCCCCGTCCCTGCGCATGAGCGGCTTCATCTACCAGGTCTGAACCTCAACACGATAAATACAAATGGTCCCGGTCAAGCAGAAGTAAACAACAAGGCTAAAAACTCAAGTTAATTCATCTGATATAAAAGTGTATTGAACAGATACATATGTACTCGAGTTTATCAAACTGTTGACCTTTTTTCTGTTCCATTTTTGGTTCTAAAGTTCCATACGTTTTAAACAGACCATGAATGAAACATGGAACAAAAATTATTTCCCAAATTTCAAAGACCTGAAAATCATGTAAATAAATGTTTGTATTTCATCATATCTTGTGTTATTCCATCTTTGAACTGTTGATGAAGGGACAGGATTTTTTTTTTTTAAATGTATTTAAAATGATAAAAATTTTCTTGGAAGGACTGACATATTTTATAGAAATAGTTTCTTTCATTTTGAAGTAATATTAAAGTTTTCAGAAGAAAAAAGCGACAAATGATGTCAAATCCTGCACCTTCTACTTGTTTACACAGTTTTCCCTCCGTTACTTTTCCTCCGTTACCATGACGTTTCTTAATAAAAAATCTCATGAGTCAAAAAGTCAGAGGTTTTTCATCCTAATCTTGTACCATATGGTAGAAAACTATATGAAGCAAATATTCAAACCAGTTTGTTAAGGATATGTAAGTGAGAACCAAGAGTTATCACTGTTTGGATTTATTGACCAAAAAGTGCTGCATATTTCATTCCCTCCGTTACCGACATGAGTTTTTAAATTTTTGTCTTGAACTTGAAAGAATCTCACAGGTTTAACTTGACCCTGTTGGAGTGTAACTCTTTCCTACATTCTGATACTTTACTTATTTCAATAGTTCCTCTAGTTTCTGAATAAGAGACATTTGAATGTCAAAAATCTGCCCGTTTCCCTCCGTTACTGCTTGACCGGACCCAAATATAAATGTCCCATAATCCTCTGACCTCTGACCTCTGTTCTAATGTTCTACAAACACAAACACAAACACACCTGGAATTGTGTTTTATTTTTCACACAGTCTCTTCTGAACTAAAATTAAAAGGACCTGCTCACTTGAAAAGTTAAACAGACCAAAAAATGATTTAAAGTTCGCAGGAGTCCGTTTGTGTAATATAAAAGACGTTTTTTGTGTGTTTAGGGCAGAGTTCCGTTGTCCGGGATGCTGATTTCCAGGATGGAAGACGGAGAAAACATGAAGAACGCCTTTGAGATCACAGGTCAGACTCACAACCTGCTCTTTATCCGTGTTCTGTTACGTAAGAATTATATTTTATTTTGATATTTTAAAGTCCCTCTACCTGATTTTTCCCCCATGTATTTGAGTAAAATGTGTATTGCCCCAGTACATATATACGGTATAAGCAGCTCTTGAGGTTTTACTATCAAAGATTCAGGAAGTGTGTGTTAGCATGCTAGTTGTTGTCGTTGTCAGGTGCGGCGTCTTTAATCCCAGATGTTTGTCTGTGTCTGTAGGCAGTTCTGGCGAGCGTCTGCAGGTGGCGCTGTCGTCTCCTCCGCTCCTGCAGCAGTGGTTGGACCTCCTCACCACGCACACTCACGCTCCTCCGGCCCAGAGCCAAGCGGGAAAACTCTGCTACACCGTGAGTGGATTTAAAGACGCACTGCGGAACTTTTCTAACATTTACTACAGGTGTTTTTATTGTTTTTTAAATACCTGGAAAAATGTGCACTCTCACAGTGAGCAAGTGGGTGGGCTCGCCTCTCCACAGATCTGCCCTAGTAGTTTCACCTGCTTGTCTCCATGGAGATAAACAGTGTAATGCCATACTGTGGAACATTTCCTCAACCAGAAACAGTTTTCAGATTTAATTTAGTTTCAAATTATTTGGGCTGAATTTTGTTCAAAAGAAACAAATGAATCAGAAGTTGTTTTTTTTCTTCCCTCTTTATTATTTGTAAATTTGTGTTTCTCAAACTGTGAACGTGTTAAAATAAACCTCAGCCTTTTCAGAAAGTCACAGAGTATAATAAAAATACTTTTACTTTTCAGTGCAGATCTAAAATGTAGTGGAGTAGATGAGGTGTAACATGTATTCGCACCGAACCGTTTCAAACCGGGACGTTCGGTTCGGTGAGTTCGCTCAGTTTGTCTCTACATGTGCAGCTCCACGGAGACTCGACTCTTTAATGTTCACCTGGATCTTGTCCGTGATTGGTTCAGTGTTTCTTGCAGCGCTTTATAGTTAGAGCGACTCCTTCACAACACCTGCCCCCGACCTGACCACGTCCCTCCGAACCACGAGAATCAAAAAACTACGATCGTCACACCACAGACGTGATTAGTTTTACCAAGCAGCACTTTGCATTTATTTTATTTTCCCGTTTGTATAATGTTCAAACTAATTGTTGGATCAATAAAAACACAAATGGTTTTGCGTTTTGTTCCCAAACTGAACCGAAAATGAACCGAACCGTGACATCAAAACGGAAGTACGAACTGAACTGTGATGTTTGTACCGTTACACCTCCAGAGTAGAAACTGCCCACTGCGAAATGTACGTAAAGGTGCACTGTGTAACGTTTTGAGGAAAGGGTCGACCACCTGCTAGTCTGAAATGTTTCACAGTATGTAACCATGGAGACCAAACCAGACCAAGTCCCAGGTCAGATCTGCGGAGAGGCGACGCTACTCACAGTCAGAATTTTAAAGAAGTTTGCTGTTTTTTTGAGCTATAAAACCACCTGTAATTGAATAAATGTAAAGTCGAACTGTTTAAAGTCACACTGTGGGACATTCCGCAGAGCAGTGACGTCTCCATGGAAACAAGCAGGTGATGGATCCTTCAGCAGAAAAGTTCCACAGTTCCACCACTTTTACTCTCAGATGTTCTTCTCAAACTGTACCTGACCTGATGTAAAACTGTGACAGATTTCAGTTTTCCTTTCTGTTCTTGTGTCGTAGCTCCCGTCTCTCCCGGCGACGCCCTCCCGCCTGTCGGACCTGCGCTGTGCCAACGGGCTGCAGGCCGCCCACACCCTGCCCCAGGCCGTCTCCTTCGGCCCGGCCCAGGGAGGAGGCACCGTGTGGGGGCCGCTGGAGCCTCCGCACACCCCCAAACCCTGGAGCCTGAGCTGCCTGAGACCCGCCCCCCCGCTCCGCCCCGCCGCCGCCCTCTGCTTCAAAGAGGTCAGACGCGACGCACCGCTACATGCGCGTCTACGGTGGGATGTGCAGCGGTTACCGTGGAGACACATTAGCAAACACTGGACACGTTTACATGAAGTTTTTAAATTCTGAATTAAATAGTTTGGAATTCAAATCTTCTCCTTGGAGTTGACATGGAAATAATAAATCTGAATTGAGGTTTACGTGGAAAACTCGTTAAATCGTCTTTATTTAATCAACATTTCTTTGAGTTTTCAGACAATCTTAAAACTTATTTACTAAACTGTGCGTTGTGTCTCCATTGTAACTGCTGAACATTCCACCACAGACGTACATACAGAACCCCCCCCACGAGCCCCTGACCTCCGTCGTGTAATATTCCGACGTGTTTTTATTCCTTTTTAATTCTCGTTTTTCTTTTCCAGGACATGAGCAAAAGTCCCAAAAACATGAAAAAGCTTTTGCCCAAACGTAAACCCGAGAGGAAACCGTCCGAGGAGGATTTCAGCGCCAGGAAAAGTACGATTTTTAAACACGTCTGTGCAAAATGAAACCAAAGTGTGTTAAACGTTTGTGTGTTTGTGTGTGAACGACGTAAACGTGAATGTTCCGCGTTGTGGCTTTAGGCACGGCCGCTCTGGAGGAGGACGCGCAGATCCTGAAAGTGATCGAGGCGTACTGCACCAGCGCCAAAACCCGACAGACGCTCAACTCCAGTGAGTCACACAACGCACACACGTTTAAAGACACACTACGGAACTTTTCACCCAAAAATGACCTTTTAGCCACTTTCTTCATGTAAATCAGTCCCTGAACTCAAATAAAGATTGTGATTTTGGTCGATAAAGAGTTAAATTTATAGATAAACGGGAAACTGTTTTCTGATCTGATCTGCTCTGTCTCTAACTTTTCAGTCTAACAAAATATTTCTCTCTTCTTCTCTTTTCCTGATCATGAACCTTCCTCTCCCTTTTCTTTTACACACATTTATCCTTATTTTATGTGTTTACCCTTTAAAAATCCCAATAATTCCTCCTAAATTTTACTCTTTTTTTTTTTTTGGTTAATTTGGGAATTTTGTGTGGATATTTTGTGTTTTTTGCATTTTTGTAAAAAAAAAAATTTAACTTTTGGGGTTTTTTTGTCAAATTTTTTGTCAACTTTTCTGTGGAATTTTGTGTTTTGTGTATATTTTTACCCTTTAAAATCCCAATAATTCCTCCCAAATTCCATATTTTTTGGTAAATTTTCAAATTTCATGTGGATATTTTATTTTGTGTGGAATTTTTTGCAAAAAAAATTGTGAATTTTTGTGTTTTGTGTATATTTTTACACTTTAAAAAAATCCCAATAATTCCTTCCAAATCCCACATTTTTTTGGTTAATTTTGGAATTTTGTGGGGGTATTTTGTGCTTTTTTTTTTTTTTTTGTCAAATTTTTTGTGGAATTTTGTGTTTTGTGTATATTTTTAACCCTTTAAAAATCCCACTTTAAAAATCCCAATAATTTCACCCACATTCCACATTTTTGCATTATTTTGTCTGAATTTTTGTGGATTTTTTATTTTTTTTTTTTGTATTTTTTTGGTGGTTCTTTGTGGGGTTTTTTTTGGTTTTTTTGTGTGTGGTTCTTTGTGCGTCCCGTGTCCCCGGTGAAGCGTGGCAGGGCACTGACCTCATGCACAACCACGTCCTGGTCGACTCTGGCGCCGCTAATCTGCCCGGCAACCCGTCCGACCAATCAGAGGACTCGGATTACGACAGCGTGTGGACGATGCAGAGTTACCGAACGGGATCCTTCTCTCGTAAGAAGAGACGCAAATGTCCAGGTTTAGACGGAGAAGAAACACACGACATGTTTTTTTATTTATTTATTTATTTTCAAATTTGAAGTTTAATTTTAGTTTTAAATATTTGTGTCGCTGAAATTGTGTTTTAAGTTGAAGTCCAGTTTTTTCTGACAATAAAATGACTAAAAGGACCAAAACCAAACTAGGACTAAACTGGAACTAAACCAAGACTTAACCAGGACTAAACCAGGTCTAAACAAGAACTAGACCAGAACTAGACCAGGACTACATCAGGTCTAAACCCAGAACAGGTAACAAACCAGGACTGAAAACAAAACCATGATCAACTCTGGATAGACCAAGGACTTAACCAGGACTAAACCAGGACTAAACCAGGATTAAACTAGGTCTAAACCAGGTATAAACCAGGGACTAAATGAAGGACTAAACCAGGGACTAAACCAGGACTAAACCAGGTCTACACCTGGTTCAAACCTGGTCCAGACCTTGTACTTTTCCTTCACTTTCTTTCACACTCTTCTAATATTCTTTAACTTTGTGTATTTCTAGTTTTTCTTGCTTCTCCTTTGTCGTTTCTGGTGAAATTCTAAAATTCTGTGTGATTATTTTTCTCACGTTTGTTTTTGTGTTTGTGTTTGTGGATGTTTCAGGGTCGAGCAGGAAGGACGTTCACATGCTGTTCCCAGAGGAGGAGAAGATCATCGTGGAGGAAACCAGGAGCAACGGACAGACCGTCGTGGAGGAGAGGTCAACTACAAACTACACACAAACTACACAAACTACACACAAACTATACACAAACTACACAAACTACACACAAACTACACACAAACTACACACAAACTACACACAAACTATACACAAACTACACACAAACTACAAACTACACAAAAACTACACAAACTACACACAAACTACACACAAACTACACAAACTACACAAACTAAACTACACAACTACACACAAACTACACACAAACTACACAAACTACACACAAACTACACTACACACAAACTACACACAAACTACACACAACTACACACAAACTACACACAAACTACACAAACTACACACAAACTACACACAAACTACACACAACTACACACAAACTACACACAAACTACACAAACTACATACACAACTACACACAAACTACACAAACTACAAACTACAAACTACACACAAAACTACACACAAACACATACACAAACTACACAACTACACAAACTACACACAAACAAACTACACACAACTACAACACAAAACACAAAACTACAAACTACACACAACTACACACAAACTACACAAACTACACACAAACTACACACAACACTACACACAAACTACACACAAACTACACACAAACTACACACAAACTACACACAAACTACACACAAACTACACACAAACTACACAAACTACACACAAACTACACACAAACTACACACAAACTACACACAACTACACACAAACTACACACAAACTACAAACTACACACAAACTACACACAAACTACACAAACTACACACAAACTACACACAAACTACACACAAAACACACACTACACACACACACAAACTACACACAAACTACACACAAACTACAAACTACACACAAACTACACACAAACTACACACAAACTACAAACTACACACAAACTACACACAAACTACACACAAACTACACACAAAAGTGACAGTAAAAGGGTTCAGATGTGAGTTGTAAAAGTTGTAAATGTTGTAAATGTAAATATTGTAAATGTTGTACTTATTACCTCCGCCAAGGAGGTTATGTTTTTGCCAGCGTTTGTCTGTTTGTTTGTTTGTTTGTTTGTTTGTCTGTTTGTTTGTCTGTTTGTTTGTTTGTCTGTTTGTTTGTTTGTCTGTTTGTTTGTCTGTTTGTTTGTCTGTTTGTTTGTTTGTCTGTTTTTTGTTTGTCTGTTTGTTTGTCTGTTTGTTTGTTTGTTTGTTTGTTTTGTTGTTGTTTTGTTTGTTTGTTGTTTGTTTGTCTGTTTGTTTGTTTGTCTGTTTGTTGTTGTTTGTTTTGTTTGTCTGTTTGTTGTTTGTTTGTTTGTTTGTTTGTTTGTCTGTTTGTTTGTTTGTCTGTTTGTTTGTTTGTCTGTTTGTTTGTCTGTTTGTCTGTTTGTTTGTTTGTTTGTTTGTTTGTTTGTTTGTCTGTTTGTTTGTCTGTTTGTTTGTTTGTCTGTTAGCAACATAACTGAAAAAGTTATGGACCGATTTTGACGAAATTTTCAGGATTTGTTGGAAATGTGAAAAGGAAGAACTGATTTCATTTTGGGTTTGATCCGGAAGAAATCCTGGATTCTGGATCACTTTGAAATTTTAGTTCACATTGTGGTAAATGGGGTCAAAAATTTAGTTTCTCAATATCTGGGTTAATTATTGACCAAACCCCATGAGATTTGACTCAGGGATGGACAATGGGATCCTCTTTCATATTCCAAAGGCTGATCCGGATCTGATCCAGAAGACGGATTTTATCGCAATTTATATAAAAAATGGGGGTAGTCCTTGGCGGAGGTCTGCGCTCTCTGACTGCTTTTCTAGTTGTAGTTGTTGTACATGTTGTACATGTTGTACTTGTTGTACATGTTGTACATGTTGTACTTGTTGTACTTGTTGTACATGTTGTACATGTTGTACTTGTCGTACATGTTGTACATGTTGTGTGTTTGTGTTCAGGAGTCTGGTGGACACCGTCTACAGTCTGAAGGACGAGGTGCAGGAGCTCAAACAGGTGAGTGTGGGAGGGCATCTGACACAAACCACAGTCTGGAAAAAAACACACACAAAATGTGAAAGTGAAAGTCCAAACCCCAGTGGAACTCCTCTGGTTTTCTTCACAAAACGGCACGGTGGCAGAGTGGTTAGCACTCGTGGCATGAGTTTCCTCTGGGCTCTGGTTTCCCCCGGAACAGTTGATAGTTGAGGTCAGTTAAAAATACAATCAGTTCAATCATTGTGTCCTTAGGCAAGACACTTCACCCACATTGTCTGGTATGAAAGTGGTGTGTGTGTGTGTGTGTGTGTGTGTGTGTGGATGTGTGTGTGTGTGTGTGTGTGTGTGTGTGTGATGGCGGTGGTCGGAGGGACCGATGGCGCCGAGTGGCGTGGCAGCTGTGCTTCTGTCAGTCTGCCCCAGGGCAGCTGTGGCTACAACAGTACTTTACCATCAGCAGGTGTAGAGTGAATGAATAATGTTCTGTAAAGTGTCTTTGTGACACAAATGTCTGTGAAAAGTGCTGTATAAATAAAAGAAAAAAAGGACTTGAGGCTCCGTCCTGATGACCTCGTGTGTCTTTCCCAGTATTTAAATAGTAATAATTAAACAGTTCTGGATTAAAATATTCACCTTGGAGTTTATAATCATTCTGAATTGAGGTTTACGTGGAAAACACATTAAATACATGTTCTTCCATCCATCCATGTTCTTCTTCTTCTCTGGGGTCGGGTCTCGGGGGCATCAGTCTGAGCAGAGACTCCCAGACTTCCATCACCCCAGACACTTCCTCCAGCTCCTCCTGCTCCTCCTGAGGTGTTCCCAGTCCAGTCCAGAGACATCGTCCCTCCAGTGTGTCCTGGTTCTTCCCCGGGGCCTCCTCCCTGTGGGACATGAACACCTCCTGAGGTCAGAACAGACGTCCTCCCCTCAGACGCTCCTCTCCACGTGGAGGAGCAGCGGCTCTACTCCGAGCTCCCACATCATTTTTAACAAGAACAAACGAGAAACATGATCCAGGAAGAATTTCAATCGTCTTTAAAATCAGAATAAACCAAACACTTACTTCACTATTAAATTTAATCCCGAATCATCATTTTCATTTGGGATTAAGTGTTGACATGGACTTTTTAAAGCAGAATTGATTTTTATTCAGAGTTAAATGATTGTTATTTGGACTTAAATGTGTTTCAGGACAATAAGAGGATGAAGCGGACTCTGGAGGAGGAGCAGAGGGCGAGGAGAGACCTGGAACGAGCCGTCAGACGAATCCTCAAAAACCTCAACGACCCGACCTGGGACGAGACAAACCTGTAAAAACAAACACAAACAAACACCACCGTCACTTTCAACACCAACATTTACACTTTTACACAGTTGTGACGTAAAGAGCAGCTCCTGCGAGAGGCTCCACACTGCCCACACCTCCCACCCATTAAACCTGATGCCCTCCCCCAAAACCAGCAGGGATTTTATTTATTATGAAGCGAAACCAAGAGCCATAGATTTAGACAGAAATATATAAGGAACTAAACCAGGACTAAAACAAGACTAAAACAGGACTAAAATAGGACTGAACAAGGACTAAGCCAGGACTGAACCAGGACTAAATCAGGGACTAAACCAGAAATAAAACAGGACTGCACAAGGACTGAACCAGGACTAAAAGAAGACTAAACCAGGACTAAAACTGGACTAAACCAGGACTAAACTAGGACTAAACCAGAACTAAAACAGGACCAAACCAGGACTAAACCAGGACTAAAACTGGACTAAACCAGGACTAAACCAGAACTAAAACAGGACCAAACCAAGACTAAAACAGGGACTTAACCAGGACTAAAACAGGACTAAACAAGACTAAAACAGGACTGAACTAGGACTAAATCAGGTCTAAACCAGGTCTAAACCTGGACTAAACCATGGACTAAACCAGGGACTGAACCAGGGCTAAAACAGGACTGAGCTAAGACTAAACCAGGTCTAAACCACGACTGAATCAGCTCTAAACCAGGACTAAAACAGAACTGAACCAGGACTAAAACTGGACTGAATCAGGACTAAAGCGAGACTAAACCAGGACTAGACCAGGTGTAAGTTCCAGTTTAAGCCATGTCCTTTTGTGTGACTCGTCTTGTTGCTTTTGCTGAAATATTTCTGAATCTTTAAACGTGTGAAAGTAGAAAAACCTCTGTGACGTCTGCGCCGTTTAGAAAAGACCAAAACTCCACTTTAGATTTTACCCAAAACTCATTTTTAATCAATGACCAAAACTGAGAGGAGATGACACGAAGAAAACTTTAAAGAGTTAAAGAGTTAAAGAGGGGGTATTCTCATAAACACTACTTTTTTTGTAACTTCCTCCCATGTTCTAACTCTGTTCCCTCAAAAAAAAAAAAAAAAAAACCTGCCTGAAGAGATTTTAGACTCATCCCTGCATGTCTGAATAATCTAGTGATCTCTCCTCCTCCTCTCACACAGGCTCCCACACGACAACTCCACACAAATACACAAAAAAAACATCACACAAAACTGAACACAACAACTTATGTGATGTGCGGGAGTTTCATGAGTGGGACTAGTGCTCTGAAGGGGGAGTGATTTAGAACAGGGAGCATAACGTATTAAACATGTTACTAAGGAACATGGAGACGTGTTACAGACGTAAATACCCCCTCTTTATTTATCAGTAATAAAACACCTTTTTTTTTTTTTTTTTTGGACATTTTTAACTAACAAAGAAGCAATTTTGTCTAAATATAAAATTAAACGAATGTAATTTTTAACAATAATTGACGTTTTTGGTCAAATTGAAACTCTAAATGAAGTTCTTGTTGTATTTTTGTTATAATTTCTTAACCAGTTCTATGCACTGCTGCTCTAACAACAAATATATAAAAAATAACACAGTTTAGATTTTAAATATGAGATGGAATTTCTTCTGTAGTGACAAAAAACCAGCTTTGTACTAACACTTTATTATATTTATGCAAATGATTTCACTTTAAAGGTTCTGTATCACACAGAACAAGACTCTGTGAGGTTTAAGTCATGTTCTAAATGTTCCTGGTCACAATCAGAGCTGGACTTGTGTTTGTTTCATTCACATGTTTGAGTAAATCTTTATTATTCATCTGTCTACATCTACAAAACTCAAAACGCTCTGCTCCACCTTGTGATGTCATGAAGTGGTAGTTTTCATGTGAACAGCTTTTTTTTCCTTCAGTTCAGTAGAGATTGGCACTTTTCCATGACTTTTTCATGAGCTAAAGTGAATTTTCCATGACTTTCCAGCAGCTACATGTGTAGAATTGATCAGACTTTTAGGTGTAAATCTGAAATGTTTAACTCTTTCCTCTCACTTTATGGTTTGGGATTATAGTTTTTGAACATTTTAAATCCTGTAGTGCATTTATTTACTGTCGTCTCTTTAAACAAAAGACTCAGACGTTCACAAATCATCACAACAGACTCATGAGAACTGAACACAACACTGGAGCGAAGGGAAAGAGACACTAAAACTCCAGGACTTTTCCAGGCCTGGGAAATGACATTTTCAATTTCCTTGACTTTTCTACGATTTCCATGACCGTGGGAACCTTGGACTTGTTTATGTGACAGACACAAGATTAAAGACTTGTTCATGAACACAAAAGGACAGTTCACACTTCAGACTGTTTCAGCTGTTTGTTTGGGTTTTTTTTTGGAACTTTGTATTTTCACTTGTGTGTGTGTGTATATATATACATATTATATATATATATATATATATTATATATATGTATATATATATATATTATATATATATATATATATAATATATATATATAATATATATGTGTGTAAAAAAAAAAAAATGTGTTTCTCACCTTCCACGGTGGGGTTGGTCTCTCACCCTCATATCAGCTCGGTCGTCTACCAGGTCCTGGGAGCTTGACAGTTCTGCGCAGTATCTTTGCTGTTCCCAGTCCTGCACTTTCTGGACTGAGATGTTCCATTGTTTTTCCCGTATCTGTTGAAGCCTCTTCCAGTTTGGGGGTTACAGCCCGAGTGTCCGATCACCACAGGCACCCACTGATGCCTTTACTTTCCAGGCTCTCTCCAGCTCTTCCTTGAGCCCCTGGTATTTCTCTAGCTTCTCGTGTTCCTTTTTCCTGATATTACCAATCGCTTGGTATTGCGATGTAACCACCACGGCTCTGCTCTGTTTTCTTATCCACCACCACTATGTCTGGTTGGTTCGCCATCACCATTCTGTCAGTCTGTATCTGAAGTCCCACAGGATCTTGGCTCGGTCATTCTCCACAAACCTTTGGAGGTGTTTCCCACCTTGATCCTGGGTCTCCAGCCCAGACTCTGCACAGATGTTTCTGTACACTATGCCCGCCACTTGGTTATGTCGCTCCATGTTTTGTTTCCCTGCCAGCATCTTACACCCCGCAGTTATGTGCTGGACTGTCTCAGGAGCCTCTTTGCACAGTCGAACACCGGTGGGTCTTGTCTGGTGTGGTAGATCGGGCCTCTGTTGCTCGGGTGCCCAGGTCCTGCTCCTGAGCAGCCAGGATCAGTGCCTCTGTGTGTCCTCAGACCCTCTCAAGCCATTGGTAGGATTTCTTGATATCAGCCACTTCAGTTATGTTCCGGTGGTTCGCCCATGTCCCCATGTAGGGTTTGTCCTGCATGATGGTCCCTCCAGCACCTCTTCCTCTGGACCCCACTGTCTGAGACATTCTCTCTCTCTCTCTCTCTCTCTCTCTCTCTCTCTCTTATATATATATATATATATATATATATATATATATATATATACACACACACACACACACACACACATATATGTAATACATTAATCATATCAGCTGTTTCATGTTTGACTTTTCTTTTAAACACTTTTGAAGCTTTGACACTTGCTCTTGAAGCTTTGAAATGACTCTATTATGATTCTAGTGAAGGTGTGTGGAGTTTTAAAAACACAGTGGGGCACTTCCTGTATCACCACATGATGACATCACAAGGTGGAACAGAGTGTTTTCAGTTTGAGAGGAGAACTCAGCCTGTAAATGTTTGGGTTTATGAGTTAAACATGTGAATGAAACAAAACACAAGTCCAGGTCTGTGTGTGACGAGGAAACGACATTAGAACATAAACAGTGTGATACGGGACCTTTAAAGATGCACTGTGTAACTTTTCTGGTCTGTCACCTGCTCGTCTCCATGGTTATTGCTTTGCTAAAAATGTCACACAGTACAGCTTTAAACTATTCAGCTATAATCTATTCAGGATTTATTTCATTACGGGTTTTTAGACTGAAACAAACCAGGACTAAACCAGAACTAAACCAAGACTACACCAGGACTAAGCCAGGACTCCATGGATACAAACAGGTGGCGGTAAAGTTCCACGTTGCAGCTTTAAATGTCGAGCCAAGAAGCCGTTTTGTTTTGGACCAAAGCAATAGTTTCACTGATTTATGTTGGAATCATTTTGTATTTTTAAAAATGTCTGTGTATTTTTATTTTTGACAGTTTTCTACACTTTTTATTGTTTTTTAAAAATATATAATTTCGTTGTGGTAATTCTTTGTGTTTTTAACCGAATCTTGTGACGATCAAAAACTCCAAAAACTGTGACGCCTTTATTTATGAAAACATCAAATAAACTGTGAAAAACTCTCTGAAAATGTCTCATCTGTAGAAGTATCATTTGTAGTAGTGGTATTTTTTGTAGTAGCAGCAGCAGCAGTAGTAGTAGTAGTAGTAGTAGTAGTAGTAGTAGTAGTAGTAGTAGTAGTAGTAGTAGTAGTAGTAGTAGTAGTATAATTTGTATTTGAGTAGTTGTAGTAGTAGCAGTATCATTTGTAGTAACAGTATTATTATTAGTAGTAGTAGTCGTAGTAGTAGTAACATTTGTAGTAATAGTAGTAGTATCATGTAGTAGTAGTAGTAGTAGCGGTATCATTTGTAGTAACAGTAACAGTAGTAGTAGTAGTAGTAGTAGTAGTAGATCATTTGTATTTGTAGGAGCAGTAGTAATAGTAGTAGTAGTAGTGATAGTAGTAGTAGTAGTAGTAGTAGTAGTAGTAGTAGTGATAGTAGTAGTAGTAGTAGTAGTAGTAGTAGTAGTAGTAGTAGTAGTAATCTTAGCAGTAATAGCAGAACTGTTGTATTTATAAAAGCACGAACTTTAAGCCTTAAAAAGTTTCTAAAACATTTAAATTCGTCATTATAAATGTTTATGAAATTATAACTTTTATTTTCTGTGTAAACAACTCTTAAATTTGTTTTGTTCGTGTCAGTTTAAAAATCTAAAGCTGCAGAACGTGGATTTGTAGTTTTAATTCAGCTCTAAAACTACAAAACCGCGGTGCATCCTGGTCCAAGTAACGGTCTACTTCCGCAAACTCCCGCGAGCAGGTGACAGATATTTAATTAATCACGGGGAAAGTTCATCAAGAATCACTTTAATGACACGAACTCACAACAACATTTATCAAACTGTACGTACGTTCGCTGTTAGCATGCTAGTTTAGGTTAGTTTAAGTTAGTTAGCCGCGTTAGCTAAAAGGAAAAGTAACGTTTGTTGAAAAAAGAGCGAATTAAATTTACAGCGACGGAACCGAAACACGACACGGACCGAACTCGGAAACATCAAAACGATTCTGCAAAAACCGTGAGTAAAACCTTTATTTATTTAATTTTTTTATGCTGCTGTTGTGTTTAAGAGGGTTTTTGTGACTTTAAGTAATTGCTCTAAAAAAAAATAATAAAAAATGTAAAAAGGCAGAGGGAGGGCATCTGACACAAGCCACTATTCTATTCTATTCTATTCTATTCTGCTTTATTTTATTTTATTCTATTGTATTGTATTTTATTTTATTCTATTCTTAATTTATTTTAATTTATTTATTTTTAATATTTTATTTTTTTGTATCTTAAAAAAAAAAAAAAAAAATATATATATATATATATATAATATATATATAATATATTAAAAATATAAATATTTAAAAAGATAAATAAATAAAAATAAATTAAGGATAGAATAAAATAAAATAGAATACAATAGAATAAAATAAAGTAGAATAGAATAGATTTGTATTTATTTATTTTATGTATTTATTTATTTATTTTTAACTTTTTTTTTTTTTTTATCTTTTGTATTTTTATTTATTTATTTTATTTTTATTTATTTTTCGTAATTTTAAAGTTCCACTGTGTCACTTTTTCTGCTCGAGTGTCTGTCATTCGCGTGTTTCCACGCAGATGTCGTTGCTTTACCCGGAATGTCCCGCAGTAGGGCTTTAGTGAGTCTGGAATAGTTTGTTTTCATGGACAGAGTGACCCGGATGTTGAGAGAATAGGGTGTGATATATTTCCGTCCGGCAGAGGGCAGCAGAGTGTCGCTCACAGACGGTGCAGTGCGCGCGGGAGGCTGCAGGGGGCGCTCTGTGTTCACTCCACAACACAACACAGAACACACGCGATTTTACACTTTTAAATCCTCTTATTTCTTTATAAAATACCCGATTACATTTAAAATATTACAATGATTTTTACACAATTTAATAATATTTGTGTTTTAATAAATGTATAAATGTATTTGATCCCAGAATATAAAAATAAACCGGGTTTTAAATGGCTGCTGATCAGAATAAAACTAAATTTAACCTGTTTTAAATTGTTACGTTAAATTTAAATCAAATATAACTGAAAAATATGTAATTATATTATTATATATATTATAATTTTTAAATGTGACATGTTTTATTTCAAATGTATTAAATTGTCAGCAATTTAAAAATTAAAATTAATTGATTACAAACCAGTTTCCTTTTATCTAAAAATACAACTTACATGTTGTAATTATGTAAATATTTTAGATTTTGTCGTTAATTACGCGTGTACAATATTCCAGTGGTAGAAGTAGTAGTAGTAGTAGTTTGAATCATTTTTGTATTTTAAAAATGTCTGTGTACTTTTATTTTTGACCATTTTTCTACATTGTTTTTGTCGATTTTTAAATTTAATTTCAATGTGATTATTTGTGTTTTTAACCAAATATTGTGTTAATCGTTTATTTATTGAAAACATAAAATTAAACTGTGGCTGAAAACGCCTCATTTGTAGTAGTAGTAGTAGTAGTAGTAGTATATGTAGTCGTAGTAATTAAACCGGCTTTATCCTTTTATAATTTTTTCCAGATTTAAATCACAGAAATAAATGTGAAATATTTTGGTAGTTTTGCTCGTAACATTTACAAAATATTTCCAAATTAAAAACAAAAACTGATGGAAAATGTGAAGTATTTTAGTTTTGTTAAAATTCAAAATTTCCACAAACCCTTTCCAAACAGACGTGTGGTAGAATCGTATTTTCTTTTTTGAGAATAAAACAAACTCAGACATTTTTACACATTTAAAATAAATATAAATAAATATGAGACTGAAAGAATCGACATTTTGAGAAATTTTCCACACACAGTTTTGAATCGAAATACAAGACTTTTTGCTTAAATGAATAATTCCGACGCAATAAAAGCTAAAAACCCAGAGAGAACTACATAGACCATGATCCTTTGCTCCGTTCCAGCGCAGACATGAAGAAAAAAACGGTTCTAACGTTCGAAACACTTTTACACTTTTTAAATCTTCGCTCGTTGGTCGAAGAATCTGACCGAGAGTTTCAAGAGGAAAAAGGAGTTTTCTGTTTTTTATTCT